ACCCCCCACCCCCCCCCCCCCAACCCCCCCCCCCCCCCCCCCCCCCCCCCCCCCCCCCCCCGCCCCCCCCCCCCCCCCCCCCCTCGACTCTCGAGTCCTCTTTATTATACATAGTACCAATGTGATGTACATACCTCAAACGTGATATATGCACTTTCTTCTATTCTACCGTAGATCTGGGTAAGACCCTTTAGGTTATCATCCACAACTTCCGCAGCGATTACATATCTCAACGTCTTCTTCCCAATAGATCATCAAGTAACTCTTCCCCCGTACAAAGAGCTGTTTTCTCAAGACTCGACAAGTCGCTAAGCACTCGAGTCTATACCTAACGTTGATATCGTATTTCTGATTCCATACCTCTCATCATCACGATAGTCCGAATACAAATCATGTCAGACCTCCACTTAGAGAATGACGAGAGCTATGACCGTTTTATAATCGAACCGGAGGCCAGATATCTCGCACTTCTGGGAGATGTCGGCATTCTAACCTTTCATTACAGCCAATACTTGTAATTCATTGAGCGCCATCTCCGCTTGTTCGAAATCATCTTTTACATACTCAGTCCTATGGAGTCATTCGGGTCGTCCTAGAAGGATACCAAAAACAAAATCACACACTTTTCTAAATGTGCAAGTGAGCAAAGAGGCCACCAAGATTCGGGTTGGGGGGGAATTCGTTTTTCTTGATAACAGCCGGTATGACTAGGCCGACGAGAACATTAGCATCCTCGGCGCAACCCTGTTCGCGGATCCACCCCCTGATCAAATGTTTCCTATTGGCACATTTGACCTAAACGAAGTACCGATTCTCGGTTGGAGCCCCGAAGAATAGGTACTGGGAAGCTCATCTCGAAACCATTGAATATCTATCGCGCGAAGTTGATCTGATCAAACTGGAAGATCCTGAGCGAATTGTCATCATCCTCACACACCATTCCCCAACTCTGTTACCCCAAAACTGGGACGGGACTTGCTTGAGAAATCAGCATCCTTGGGCCGAAGCGGAAAATGTCAGGCTGTGGGCCTTTGGGAGCACATACTACAACTGCGACTATATCAAAGAGAAGACGTGAATGCGAGTATATAGCAATCAAAGAGGATATGCCAATATTGATGGATGCCGCGATTTCAACATGCAAGCCATCATCGGGATCAGCAATTATGACGATCCCTCCGAATGTATTTCCGACTGTACTTAGACGTCCTGGAGGACAATTATAAGATAGAAGAGTCTCGTGAGTACCCGAATGTAACGACCCATGTAGATCATAACCTTCAGCGCTGACGTCTTTGTGCGGCCTAGCAACGCTTTCGTCACGATGCTGAAGGCTACCAATATTTACACAAATGTATTGGCTAGTTTGGCTTTGCATCGCTAGTCCCGATATTCATAGCTAGATGGAGAACGCCAAAGCTAACTAGTATGGACAGAGTATTTGCTATAGAAATTCGTCAAGAGAATTCCTTAGGTAGAGGGTTAGTTTTTAAACCCATGCTAGACAAGCTCGTATCCGGAATTCTAATAAACAGCTGCATCTTACCTCGGGAAAGAAAGCCAACATCTATTAACACTCGAGTGACGATGAATTCAGATGGCTGCATAAAATAGTAGCGTTCGGGTCGCTTTGGTAAAATCCAGAAGAGGCTGTAGTTGAATGGCGCTTGTGGGCAATGGGTACAAGAGTGTTGATAAATTATATTTCATGAGGTGGTAGATATATGCTCACTAACAAAAGCTCTAGTCGAAATACCTGTATCACAATGCAGAATGTAGACTTCTACGCGTCTTCCGTATAAAACAACCTTCCGGGCGTGAGTATAACCGAATTTTAGAATTAAACGTGAGCACAGGTGATCTTGGATTTCAAGACCAAGGGAGGCAGAACAGGATACTCGAAGAATTCCTCTTTGGTGTCACCAATCGTATAATTGGAGCCAGCTTCATAAAAGAATGACTCCTTGATGTCGGAAAGTAGGCGACATAAAGCTAATATGTCTCCTGTCGGATCTACCAGTCCTATATCTTCGTGGCCGTGGTCTTCTGCCGGTGAGTCGGGACCTAGGACTAAGTCGACTTCCTTTACTTTGGGGAAGCTCTGCATTAAGGCGTATTTGTTGTAAGTTTCCCAGGGCCGTCTGATATCGGGCCTAACGTAGTCGAGAGCCAGGTTGACTGTATCTTCGATGCCGAAAACGAGCTGTGTGAAAGACCGCAAGGCGTCGTCATAACCCATGAAAGGAGGTCGAGGAAGGTAGAGTACATCTAAGTCTGGGCAGAAATATATCCTCGGCTCGTGCGATTTTGTACCGAATGACCTCCTATAGATTCCCAAGGCTTCGAATCGAGATTCTCGACAGACGTGGAGGACGGCTGGCGGCGCCGTTAATGATGTGCATCGGTCAGTGTGGCTGTCGTACAAGACCTCGACAACCCTTTGATGACAGGTATGCCGCCATATCTGGAGTCTTAACTCGGTAGGCAGCAGAGAGAAACAAGTAAATGAAGAGTGATCCGACATGGCCTGTAAGCTTATACGGTAAAAAGTAGGATGAGTTGAGGATGAAGTTGAGGATGATAATATATCAATACCTCGTTATTAATAATATATGTACCGGCACGATTAAAAGACCAAAGCTACCATATCTGGAGAGTCAAGTTACGAGCAGGCTAGTTAATTAAATAAAGTATTATAAGAATATATATGAGGAATGGAGGCCAAGCCACGTTGGAAAGGGTTCTGGATTCAAATTAAAAACCCACATTAGCCCAAGGCGCCCAAGGCCCAAGCTAAAGGGAAAATACCAAAGTACGATGGAACAAAGAAGGGTTCCCTGTCGGCGTAGGTCCTGCGATGCGATTCTGCGGCCTGTGAAACTGGATTGGGCACAGTTTTGTACACTCCAAAAAAAGAAAAGAAGAAAAAAAAAGTGCTAAGGAAGCAGATCGTCCGGACACTTGTTGAACGCGACGAATTGCCAAGCAGATGATGGGTAAATCTCCTATCAACCAGGTTTTACAGTAACACCACATGTACAGAACACAGAAATCAGACCGACCGGAAGGACAAGTGAGGCAGCTAGGTAGCTCACTGCAGCTCACTAAAGCTCGGTGTTTCTGGGGTTGAGATGACGCAAGAAATATAAGCAATTATTGTGTCTGCCAAAAACAAAAAGCAGATGGGGAACGGGGAAAACGAATCTTGTGAAGACAAGAGATACAGCCGGGGGCGAATCTCGCCGGGTTGCGGGTTGCGGGTTGAAAATAGGTAGTGTGTAAACGAAGGGGGATCTCGGAGTAAGAGGACGCACAGGGCAATACAAAACCTATCGTCGATTTTGACAGGAGCATAGAAAAAGAGAAAGGCCAGAAGCGTCTTTTCTTACGCCCTAGCGTCCCATTCGACTCATTCGACAGGACAATTGAGGGCGATACAGGAGGAAAATGCGGGTGGACTGGCCGAGTCCCCCATCTAATTATGTCCAGTAAGGTCGAGATCGTATGATTTTGATGATTTTTGGTGACAGGTCGAGGAAGGAGGTGACAAAAATGGTTCTTTGCTTCTTACCATAGCAACTTTGTAACCGGGCATAAATTCAGAGGAGCCGCGTCGTTGGTAGTTTATGCCCGATCGTTCCCGAATTTGGAATTACTTACAGGGTTTTGTCAGGCCACAGCCCACTAATTTTTTTATTTTTTTTTCTGAGGGCCACTGTCCACGAGGCTTTGTGGGAAAGGGCTGAAGCAGGTGAAAAGAAATTGCTGGGGTATACATAATAACTGCTGGGGACATCCTTTCTAAACACGGGAAAGAGCTTACATACTATGTAGGATTACCGGCATTAGAAATGGAGGGAAGTTGCCGCGGTACGATCTCACTTGCTTAATGCCTTCTTATGATAAGAAATATGTCGGTAAGGGAAGTCATCCGCGATATGTTAGTCATATCGAAACTTAAAACTTATAAAGGACATTTCATTCCTTCCTTTCCCAATTCATCGCTATACCTACATTCGCGTATCTTTTGTCATACACACCACTTTACCTAAGCTGCTAAGATAGGCGCATGTAAGATGTTACCCCTTAGCCAGGTGACCCCTTCGACGTTATTAGTCTAGGGTAGTCAATGCAGGTTGTATGTAATACATACTGTAGTACAATAAATCGCATAAAATCGGTGGAATACGATAGGCTGTCCAATTTTGGCCATCGAAGGGCTAGAAGGACACACGGACCACTCAATAAAATTTCATCTGATCCAACTTCCTATTACTTCTCATTAAGTGGACATGGATTAAAAATAAAAAATAAAAAATAAAGAAAGGAAACAAATTTACATACATGTCCAAATCCCTGAATCCCCTCCAAAGGCTCGAACAAACTTAGCCGCCTTAATTAATAACTTCCGCATGCAACCTCATGCAATTAACCCCACTTACTACCAACTCAGGGACCTACACGTAAACCCTGCCTTATTACACACGCTTATGACGTAGCAATTTTATCCGGAACAAATTGAATATTGAATATTTTATTTGGTGTTGGCGTTAGTGTTAATGTTCAGAAGGATGGCTAACGTTATAGCTTCCTCGTCTTCGGCTGCTCTTACATTCGATCTACTAGCGAGATGTTCCGTGAGTCAGCATAAAACTAAGATGTCGTATCTAAGGACTGTCTAACCGCTGTATCTTAGACAACTCGAGCGCGAGCCTCGATCTTAACCCTTCCTCATGGACCGGTTCAGCTTCCTGTCTTCATGCCTGTGGCAACACAGGCGTCTTTAAAGGGTCTAACTCCAGAACAGTTGGAAGAGACTAGCTGTCGTCTATGCCTAAATAATACTTATCACCTGGGCTTGAAGCCTGGACAGGACGTGCTCGCTGCAGTCGGAGGAGCACATAAACTGCAAGGATGGAAATATAACTTACTTACAGACAGTGGAGGGTATGTTATTTTTTGAAGGAAGAATAAAACAATTTAAGGGGGCAACCGCCAGTTACTTGGAAACAAAACAAATCAACTAACCTATCATGAGCAGGTTTCAGATGGTCAGTTTACTCAAACTTGCCAATATTACGGAAGAGGGTGTCAGATTCTTAAGTCCCCATGACGGCACACCAATGCTTCTTACCCCTGAACACTCTATATCCCTCCAGAATACCATCGGCAGCGATATCATGATGCAGCTAGATGATGTACTTGTGACTACCTCGCCAGATGCCGTACGGATGCGGGAGGCGATGGAGCGCAGTGTCAGATGGTTGGATCGGTGCATAGCCGCTCATAAAAACCCAGATACGCAGAATCTTTTCTGTATTATTCAAGGCGGCTTAGACCTCGACATGCGAAGGGAGTGCTGTAAGGAGATGGTTGCTCGAAACACGCCGGGTATCGCCATTGGCGGACTCAGCGGTGGTGAGGCGAAAGCAGACTACTGTAAGGTCGTAGTTACCTGCACTGAGCTCTTGCCAGAGCTGAAACCTCGATACGTGATGGGAATCGGGTATCCCGAGGACCTGGTCGTCAGTGTTGCTCTAGGAGCCGACATGTTCGACTGCGTGTGGCCCACACGGACAGCGCGGTTCGGAAACGCAATCACAAAGCACGGGGTCCTCAACCTTCGCAACGCCAAATACACCAACGACTTTGGGCCGATAGAAGATGGCTGTGGGTGCATATGCTGCCGCAAAGACGGGATGGGCATCACCCGGGCATTCGTGCACCACAACACGGCTAAAGAGACGGTGGCTGCACATTTGCTTACCATGCACAACGTCTGGTACCAACTAGACCTTATGAGGCAGGTTAGAGAAGCGATTATCGCCGACAGATACCCGGCCTTCTTGCGGCGGTTTTTCGCGAACCTATACCCGGATCAAGCTAATTACCCGAAATGGGCGGTAGATGCCTTGCGGGGCGTAGGAGTAGACTTATATGAAGATATTTGAAAAGTTTACTAGTTCTCGTTTATGTGGTTATGAAGCCGTGATGTCCCGAATGTTTACCGGGTTTACTCTTTCAGTAACTGAGCCGAAGTAGTAGTGATAAGCTCCCTCCCCCCCCCAATCCTCCTATCTCTCTATTTTTCCCTTGACACTTGTCTATCTATCCCCTTAGCCTGCGTTAAAGAAGACCACAATATCTTCTTGAGAGGTAAATTCTTTGTATAATTTTTCTATGAGTCTTAAAATAGACTCATAGGCCAATTTTATTGCTATGCCTTCACTAATACGTATTGGCTATGCCAACAAACGGTGCCGTTTCAGTCACCTTTCCCAGTGAACCTTATTTTCGGTATGCTTTCTTATGGAAGTACTACCTTAGGTACTCATAACATTGATAAGGATTTACAAACAAGAATGATGCCTATGATAATACGAACTTTAGATTCTCTATCACTACCTAAGGTACTTCTCATAATAATAACAAGATACATGATATCCTTCCAGTATTAAATATATACCAGTAATATAACTATTGCAAGTCACAAAAACAACGTAAACTTTGATATTTACGAACAACGGAAGTACATCAGATACATAGGAAAGGTCCATTGGCCCAGTCCGTGCAACATTCTAGGTTTGCGGGGAAGTGGATCGGTTTTGCTCAAGCCCCCACCCCCTCAAAGCTGATCTAACCTAGGTTCAGGTTACGGCTCCCAAGCATTCGTCTCACAACAGGGCCGGACTTGCATCTTGCTGCCCGTGTACATACGTCAGTCTAACCTTCCTGCTGTGAGGTAATCTGAAATTGCTACTCTCGATCGAACTTCCCCAAGCCGATCACAACCCTCCACATCTACATCTACCCATGCACATACACATACCTACACATACACTCGGCTTCCTTCACAGTGGTTACGGTAGCAGCCATTCTACCAATATTACCTTATAGATATCGTTTGATGATCTTCCGATAGGTATTACCATCCGAAGAGCTTATCTAAACAATACAACCCATACAAACAATTAACATCCGCAACCAACATACCTCAGTCTCGACCATCACTTATTTCTATCCGTCTATCTATCCGCCATGGCCACGAAAGCGATGTCAGACTTAACCCTCAACCCCCCTTCAATCAGTACTACGACTACTACTACTACCACCACCGCCACAGCACTCAAAGCGAAATCCAAAGGCAAAAAGGCTACCGCCCCAATACTCGACTCCTGGGAAGACGAAGACGTGGCCTCGGATACCGAACCCCTCTCGCAATCACCATCGCAGTCCGACTCCCACCCACAGTCTCTATCTCCTCTTCCCGTCGGTTCGGGCGTCGCCGCCCCCCCTCCAACACCTAGTTCGCCGGGGCCCGACACGCCTCTGCCGTGGCAGCCGATCCCCGGGGGCGGTAATACCAGCAGTGGTGGTAGTAGTATTAGTAGTGGCGGTGGTGGTGGTGGTGGTAATGGTGTAGAAGGCAAGAGGCCGGAGAAGACGGACGCGGTAGCCCGGAGGATGATCGCGAGCGCGCTGGGGGTACGTGCGCCGCGGCCGACGGAGGAGCAGAGGGCGTACGACCGCGCGGTGAGAGAGAAGGAGAGGAAGAGGCGGGAAGAAGAGAAAGAAGTCGAGAGGAAGAGAAGGGAGGAGACGGAGCGGGCGAAGGTCGCAATTTGGGAAGATTGAGACTTTTTTTTTTTTTTTCTCGGTTGGACACGAATGATGCGTTTGGATCTGGGTTCCGGTTCGGATGGCGCCGTCCAGATATGAGAATTTCTGCACGTACGTAGGTATCTATCGGCTTATATGTTGGGTGGGAGAGGAAGTGCTACCTATCTACGCCAATCATATCGTATCATCTGGGTTTTAAACCACTTGGTTACTCTAATCTGGGTCTTGGTTTTACCGGTGGAGGGTATGATGTCTACAGTGTTTCCAAGTGTCTTATGTCTATCTGGGATGAGGCTAGTGGGTATGGCCTCTTTAATGTCAATACGGTGATTTCTAATTATGGGAATCTAATGTATAGGGAAACATGTTCATATACGTATAAGTTACAGCAAACTAGAATCTCTTCTCCTCTTGGGAGTGGTTTATATATATCTCTAGCTGGTAGATAATTTTACATCGAGTGATCAGGAAATATATACCTCTAAAGGAGATTGTAATCCCCCAAGTTATTACAGATATGCACTCTTCTTTCTATATATACATACGTTTAACGAGCATTAGGTTCAGCCCCAGTGTAAGGTACCTAAGGGTCTGTGCTAACTTGCTTGCCAAGGACTGGTCCAGCAGCATATGGCTTCCCCTTCCAGGTTAAAACCAAGCGCTTGGCCGTCTCTTCGGCAGCACTATCATCAGAGTACCCAACACTAACACCCATCCCCTCCAGCCCCTCCTCCTCCGCCCTGCTATTCCACAGCATCTGCTGCAACCCGGTCTTCTGCGAGTACATGAAGTACCCCATGGGCCAGCGGCTCGCGGCCAGCGCGTCGCGAACGCCCGCGGTAGCCGGCCTCGGGGAGACCAGGAAGGCGAGGAGCCCGGGGCCGCTGCGCCAGCCGGGAGGCGCGCCGGCGAAGGCGCCCTCGAGCTCGCGGACGTGGTGCGGGCCGACCCTGGTGCTCTGCGAGGCCGAGGCCTTGCACTGGACGAGGACGCGCAGGGGCGGCGCGGGCGCGGGCGACGCCGGCACCCGCCACGTGCCCAGCAGGTCGATGCCGCAGTCGGAGCGGCCCCCCACGCGCTTCAGGTCGAAGCCGAGGGTCGCGAGCGACGCGGCCACGGCGTACTCGTACCGCGTGCCCACGTACGTCTTGGACTTGACGTCCAGGCCCGTGCGGGCCGCGTACGCGGCGTACGAGGCTAGGTCGTGGTGCTCGGTATTTATGGCTTCGGGGTAGATGAGAGGGCGGGCCGAGTCGGAGAAGGGGCGTCGTTGTGGTCCATCATGATGGTGGTGGTGATGATGGTTGAATGGATGCTGCTTATTATAGGAGATGATGGGGTTGATAAGCGGGCTTGGTGGGAAGCACTGGCGCCATGCTGTCGGACAGTAGGTTGTGATAGACCTCATTCCATCACCAATCGAAGAAATCGTGGCTGGTACCGCGACATTACCGAAACCAAAATGTGAGGATGCAGTTGAGAAAAACCAATGCGAATTTCTTCGATTTGCTTGTCGTGTACTTCGTAAATGCATATGCTAGGCAGATATGTAGTATCTGAAATGTGCTTATCGATAAATATTTCTTTCCTATGACAATCCCCACTACCCACTACCGTACCTACCCTGCTCCCTAAGCAGCTAAGGTAAGCCCCACCAACTTATCCCTGTAGGTGAATGTACGTAGGTACCTTTGCCGATTTAATGAATGCGATTTCCTCTCTGAGCTTCTGAACCGCGACTCAACAAGCTACATCAAGCTTATACAGGCATGTCAAGATGGGGGATAGACTCACCCAATTGCAAGATGCTGTTGACCAGGTTAGCGCCTTGGACATATCTACTTGATCCTACAATGACTGACTCTCCGAGGATTTAGCTAGCGCAGCAATTCGTGGCATGCGTCCACTACATCAACCGACATCACAACCTCGAGATCATGAATCCTACTGATCAAATTAGAGATGTGAAGCAAGAGCCAGGTCAAGAAGAGGGCAAGTGAATCCCAAGTCTCTTCCCAGCTTTCTGTTGGCAAAATCAGCTAGCTATTCTACGTATGTATACCGGCTAACCCGTCGCATGCGAACAGTGGACCCTCACCCGGAGGACCTCTTCAAATCGGCGCAGGTAGAGCTCGCCCAGGACCTCATCACGAAGGAGCAGCAGATCGAGCTCCTCATATCCTTACTCCCCGGCCTCGACAACAGCGAGCAGGACCAAGAGCGCAATATCAAGGAGCTGGAGGAAGAGCTCAAGGTGGCCGAGGCGCAACGGCAGGAGGCGATCAAGGAGAAGGAAGATACCATGGCGAAGCTAGACGCCGTCATTCGCAGCATCAGACGTCCGTGAAAACACACACAAACACACACACACTTGCGAAGCAGTGAAAGTGGTAGATATATTTGATACCCCCCCAGGTGAGGAAAGGCGTTAGGTGTGGAATTTCGCTATGAACTATTGGTAGTCTCTCTATCGGCAAAAGCCAAAAAAAGAGCAAGTCTCCGGACTACCTAGAATATAAATAACTATGACTTTGCGTAAAGTTGAACTCTATCATCCCTCTTCTGGTAATATACCCAAAAACGCCTCGGTCCATGTTATCTATATGCCACATGCGAGCATCGTGATTATGTCTATTTATTTATGCCTGTCTATGTCTGAATTTCCGACTTGAAGAACTGCGGGAATATCCGCCGCAGCTCTTCCAGGTGCCGAATCTGGTACTTGGATGCCGGGGATGCGGGAACTGGTAACCCTTCCTCGACGAGGTGGGCTGATGTCCAGCCTAGTTTTTGCGCGCCTTCCGCGTTGGCGAATGAGTCGTCTACGCGAAGTTAGACACACTGCTAGGTTAGATGATTTGTGTGTATATGTTGCACTTACCAACAAAATAGCAGTCTTCGACTCGGTCGACTCCAGCCTCCTTCATCGCCTTGGCAAACATGTCCTGGTGGGGTTTGCAGACGATGGGGATTTGGGAGTAGTCGCAGTACGTAAGGCCCTCGAACAGGTCTTCTATGCCCAGAAGCCTGACTACTCTCCTGCCGTGGGTGACGTACGCGTTGGTGAGAAGCCACAGCTTCACTTTCGACTTGTCGATGTCCTCGAGCAGTTTCCGCAGCTGCGGGTTCGGCTTAATGATGTCCTGGAGAGGCAAGGCGTCGTCGACCTTGGCGTTGTAGTCTAGGGGGTCGATCTGGTGGTGCCGTACCAGACCCTCGATGGCGAGACCGTAGTTCTTGTAGTACTCCGTATGCAGCTTGGTCGCTTCTTCTTCCGAGAGGCCCAGATGCGTCGCGAAGTATTTGTCTATCAGGTCTGCCATGAGATCGTGGACTTTGGCGCCTGGACTGGTGGTTAGTATCGGAAAATATAACCCCTCCTCCCTTGCAGTTTGGGGGTGGGTGCTCATCATGACATACTTCTAGGATAGAGACAGTTGTCTATGTCGCTGTTTATATTGTTAGTTTCAAGGTTTATATATATGAGCAAGAGAGATGGAGTAGTCTTACAAGAATAATACGGGCCTCGAGGAGGTTTCCCCGTTGGGCTGTGTTATTGGTGATGCCATGGTCCTCTTATGACTTATAGGAATAGTAGGTAGGTAGGTATTAGAGAATTGGGTTATGAGAGTTTCTTATATGGATTGTGTTTTCTCTTGTAAACCTCTATAATTTTAAAAACAAGCTGTTAAGACTTGAGACACTTAGATGTTGTTGACCTTGTTTGAACGGTTGATGTGGTTGAGAGGGGAAGTTTGTAGAAGTTTTAGGAAGTAAGGTAGAAGAGAAGTTAATAAGGCATCATCACGACTCAAGACTTAAGACGAATCTTAGGTGTTTATATACTAATTACTACTCTTATTAATATAGTGACTTACGCCGAAGAACTATACTAATGAAGATATTCTCAACATATCGGCCACTTTATGAGAACTCTACGATTTTATTTTGAGTCACCGGCAAGACGAAGATGCATACATTAAAAGTTAGGTATGTAACTACAAATGTATAAGCGTAGTTACCTAGCATTGTTTTACGAGCTTTACTGTAGACATCTTAGCGAGTGAGGTAATCAAAATGTGATAGGTTTGACGTAAACCAAACCGTATTCTCTTTTACACTACAAGCCGTAAGCGGCTCATCGTTGTTGCCGAAGTCCTTGTTCATTTAATTCTTTGGCGTCATAATACGTATACCTAGTATGTACTCAGGTACTTGCATAAGGCACCACCTGCCACAGGTGTGGGTCTGATGCATGGTGCATTTATGGCGTTCTGCATAAATGCATTCGGTCAAAAAAAAAAAAAAAAAAACATTACAACGTTTAAGTTCCAAACTGGAGCTCGACCCGTCGTGCGACACGTCTTCCATTTTCCCTTCTTCGACTTCTTGCAAAAAGCATCGAAGAAGTTATCAACCCGGTTTCTTTTCCGTGTGATACTTGTCTTCCCATCACATAATAGTAATTGTATACTTTTCACATTGTTCATATTTGCTGGGTGTTAGACCTTTGATCTATGGATGGTTCTCTCATCATAAGTTGATTTCAACCAAGAAAAAGAAAAGAAAAAAACATGGCTCAAGCCAGTATCGCACGAGAACCCATAGCCCTAGGCTATCAACCAGGCGCTCAGAACGGCGCGCTGTCATCTGCTGATCTCGACGAGATTAGTCAATATCAGAAGGTTATCAACTTTCGAGATACCATAGTATCTGGAAAACATCCCCGTATCAAAGTCGCTAAGCCGATCACTCCTCAGCATTCTGCCTCGCTGGCGAGAGATCGTGTCACGACTTCATCATCTGCACTGCCTTTGCAAAATGCACCTAACCTCAACTCTTTCCAGGTGGACAATATGCAGTCTTTCAAGACAAACCTGCTGCAGCCTGCTGTCGCCGTAGCTTCGACAGGTTCTAATGCTTTTATTCCAGGTGTCTCAAGACCACTAGATTCTGCTAGGGTGGATACCAACTCCCTCTCGCAACAGGCAGTCGACTATATTGCTAAGGCAGAACTTCAGATGCAAAGGTTAAAAATCGAACAGGAGCTCAAAGAGGAATTCGAGAATCGAAAGGCTCTGGCGAAGACTCCTTTGCAACCTTCTGAGCAGCCAGCTGATCTAGATCTCTCTGATATTTTAGCAAAGGCACTAACTCTCGTACAAGCTACTGCTCCTCCGCCTAGTTCCAATACTCTTAATGGTGGTATTGTTTCCGATTCGAGTGACTCCTTCGACGATAACACATTTTATTCCAGTCCATTTGAGACGCCTGACTCTCGTGCCTCGCCTCTCGCCTCGCCTTTCGCCTCACCTCGAGTTCAGAATCCAATCCGACAGGATGTCCAAATGCAAGATACGTCGGCCACGACATCTCAACAAACCCAATTTGCTCCTCAGCCTGCCCATCCTCCGGCGTCGTCCTCGTACCAGACAGATATCAATCGTAGCACACAGCCCATCCAAACTGCGAGTAGTTCCCGCCCACCTCAGCCGAATGCTAGTAGCCTAGCCACGTCTATGCAAGAACGCGCAGCCTATAACAGTTCCAAAACTAGTCGCGAAGGAGATATGATGGTACATACCCACCAGGCACGTCAGGTAGATGCACAAGTCATCAGTTCAGATAGCGGTGCTGCTAGTAGATCCGATAACTCTGGCAATACAGATTCGGACCAACCTGCTGACTTCGGCCGTATCCAGAACCCTCACCAGTTGCTTCCCAGTGCTCACTTCAGACAGCAAGCGTCACCTGTGGTTCGCGCTCACGACCTCTCGCCCTTCGCGCCCCAGCCTGCTCACGTCTCACCGTTAGCAGTAGCTAGGAGGCCTCCTATACCTGAGCCGGAAATTAGCATTTTATCAGGTGCACCGGCCCAAGTGACTGCCCTACGCCAGGAGCATACCGTCGTCGTCACAAGCCCAGAGAGCTCTCCCCAGGGAGAAAAAGGAGGCAAGAAAAAGAATAAAAAGAAGAATAAGAGAAAGGCTGAAACGAGAGCGCCAGATGCCCCGGGTTCCCCTTACATCAAACCCGAACCTCGATCGCCTTCACCTCTGTCTGCGCCTCAGCTTGTCCGTCCTCAAAAACGACCACGACCTGATGCTAGACCTGGCCAAGAGCCGGTGTATGATGAGCTGCGAATCGAACGGCCGGTATCTGTGCTACATCGTGACCAATATCCTGCTCCTGTTACCCACGTACCGGCTGAGAGACCCCCGTATGGATTCGAAAGGGTGGATGATCCGTCTGCAAGGCAACTGCGTCAGTCCGTAGCCCCAGCAAGTCAAAGGTTAGATCGTGGTGTGTACGAAGAACGGCGCCCGGACGGGACGATCGTGCAGTACATCCAGCGAGTCCAGTCACCTTACGGCTACCCGCCTCCCTACGCTGCTGTGGAATCGCGTTCTCTACGCTCCGCGAGTTACTCAGTAAACCCTCCCTACCGGGATGTTCCTACTTATCAACGTGATGGACGAATGAGTGTACGGCCTTATGCTGATCGTGCTAGATCACGTTCACCCGTCGTTGTAGAGAGACGATCGCCTACCATGGCACCTCCCGCTCCCCCACCTCGTGTTTTAGTTGATCAGTATGGTCGCGAGTATTTTGATCCGCCCCGTCCCAGCGCCGTCACTCGTCATTCAGTCGTGCCACCCCCAAGATCGAGCGAGCGTGAGGTAATCTATGAAAGAGTGCCTCTCCGTGCTCCGTCCCGTATGGCCGGGGAGACGTTTGAGGAGGATGGAATCATTTACAGACGTGCATCACCCACATTTGCCTCTCGACGTGTCATTACGCAGCCAGAGTATGGCGTTGATTACAGAAGCCATCGGGAGCGCGACTATTCTATACAGCCTATGGGAGCACCCAACCAAGAATATGTTTCAGCCCGAGGAGTGCCAGCGGGGCGGGGTCTCGATGAGATATCAAGGGACTATTTACCTAGAGCTACAAGTGTCCGACCACCGGAGGCTGTACCGTATTACAACAGAGTCGAGGCCGTACGACCTGAGGTCCCGTCTAGGCGGTATGCTGCGAGCGTTCACCCTGAGGTAAGAAGGGACGTGGCGTCTGCAGTCGTCCGTGAGTTCGGTGCGAGACCGGTGGAACGTGATTTGCCCAGACGCGAGTTTAGTATCCAACCGGTAGAGCGTTATTATGATAGACCACCTCACCAGGAGGAAGAGGTCACCTATATTGAGCGGCCCCGAGCAGCTCAGCAGGAGATCATTTATGCCGACAATAGTCGAAGGCAAGTCTACCAATAAATGCATTCCAGATGCTGGAGATGGTATACGGACGAGCCCGGTCTTACAGGTGAAATTAAAGAAAGTCATGTCATTGGAAGGGGAGACCCCTTCGGATTCTGAGGGTTTTTACAATTGATAATGGGAGGAATTAAGGTCGGACCTGTCATGATTCTCGGTATTATACTATAATAGCAGTACAAAGATCTGCTTGGCGTTAGCATCAAGGGTATTTTACGAATTTTGGAGCTGATTCGGGAGGCGTGGCTTGGAATGGGTGGTAGCATGCAGAACTCCTCCACAGAAGCAGGCTTTCAGCAGGTAACCAAGTGCTTATGTGCATGGACTGTATATAATACTAGGCGGCCTTTACCAGAGAAGATCCAATATGTTCTGTATTCCGTTAGTTCAGTAATGCGGTGCATGCTTTATCCTCCATTTTAGATGGATAGGAGCTCTGATTTGCATAAGCGAGGAAGACAGGTGCATGTGGTGCTACGATTCATGTACTTTTTATTACTCCTGTCATTCTAAACCGGCAGTACGCTCGCCTATTGTAAGCCGGTTTCTAGATAGACCTAATATGTCGAGGTTCGGAGAGTTATTAGAGGTAGGTATGTATTTTGCCTAAGAATACGAGTTTTTAAAATAAACCAAGTGTTCATAATCCAACGTTGGACTCGCCTCTATCGATCAAATGTCTGATACCTACCTAGGTAATATGTACTTAATTTGCTTTTTTGACTCCATTATTTATTTTATTGACTGACTTACGATGGTAATAATAGAGAGTCCCCAACGAAAGGGAGGGAGACATCATTAAGCACTTTAGTAATATTAGTTTTCCTACTTGTCTACACGAAAAAAAACGAACGAACGGACGGGCCGGGCTCGGCAATCGGAATTGATGCATTTTTATTTTATTTTTACGATAGGGCTTGGGAGCCCTCCACGTGTAGTGTAGTGTAGTGTAGTGTAGTGTATGTAAGCCGCTCACCACTCCGGGGGGGCGTTTTCGGCTGTTGATGGCGAAGGAGGTAAAGAACGCGCGGCCCCGGATAACCCCGGTGGGCTCCTTTCTTTTCTTCCTCTCTCCCTCTCCCCTGCCGCTCACCAGCTAGCCCGTAGGCTTGGCTGGGGGAGGAGTGGGAGTGGGAGTGGGAAAAGACAGTTAGTAGGTAGCGCAGCGGACCGAAATAGACGAGTCAATATTTCCAATATATAGGACGCCCCCCCTCCGGGGACCCCGTTAACACATCGGGCCAAACGTTGCTGATGTCCACTTAGGTAGTTATGTACAACACAGCGTCCGTACTTTTTAAGTTAAGTACCTAATGTATGTGTGAAAAGATTAAAGAAAAGGAATCGAGCCTATTGCTCTACTCCTCCTTGCGAAGATTAGGTAAGTGAAAAATAGATGTAAGTAATTGGAATCTTGTCGGGAAAGGGGTGATAACCTTCGCGGAACGTCTAAAGCCCGGAACCTAAACCTTGGGTAGGTTGGTGTTGCTATTGCTACGTGTTACGATTCTAGCTTTCCTTTTGTTTATTGTCTTTTATTCTTTCTTTGTTCGTCTTTCGCGAGACTGAAGAGAAAGGGATAATATAATAATAATAATGATGATGGAAGGGATGAAGAATAGGCGAGAGATCTGCCAACTCAGATATGTAAAGTAGATTACATTATGTATGCAGTGTCGGTTATTAGGTTAGGTATGCATGTATGTCAGTTGTGTCCGTGCCGCGATCCATCTGATTCTAATCCGTAGGTCGGTCGGCTCGAGCTTTGCAGGTCCTAGTTCGAGGTCTTGTGGCCGGCCACGATCCGTAAGGTCGAACAAAGGTCGAGCTAAGCAATGTAGGGATGAGTAGAGAGAAACCTATTAGTAGCACATATGTAGGTACTAACTACCTAAACTAATGTAAGCTCGAGAGAGGGCGGGTGGTGTGTACCGTACTTGGTTAACTGGCGGTCTTGGTGCACCGTGGCTATGTCTGTTTGGAATGCATCTCGAATCGGGTAGGCCCAGGACTTGGAACCCAGGACGTAGAGAGAGAGAGAGAGAGAGAGAGAGAGAGTAAGAGAAAGAGATTGAAATTTAATTCAACATCCCTGTATTCCTTGTATTTCCAACGAGACCTAATACCTACATTGCCGAACAGGATAGTGTACCTATTGTATCATACCCTATTACCTTATTCCTTGAAGTTCGTGTTGCCCACATTTTCGAACGCACGGACGGACGAAACCAGTTACCAACCACAAAGCCACAAACAAGATTTTGATAGCCAGTTACATATAGTATATTAGGTAGTATCGAAGGAGACGGACTTATATGTGAAGCGACTTACATGTGTCAAGCAGAAACAGCATAAGATATCAATGTATGCCGCTAATACCAGACATGTATGTGTGAAAGAGAGTATGTTACCGTTACATTATCTCATCTCGTACGGATGGATTCAAGTAAGTTGGTCAAACCTTGGATACAGGAGAACAGCTGAATACCTCCTAGAGGTAGGTAGTTGAAGATAATCGTACGGTATAGTACGTATTGTATTGTATACCATCACATGTACAATAACAGGTAGATACCTCTAACCTAGGTAATTACCAAACCTAGGACCTACCTAGGTATTAGAGCCATAGTATAGCATTTGCACCTACCCACCTGTGTAATGTAATGCAATTACTACGGAAGGCATAAAAGCCAAGGTAAGGCTCATTGCTAAATTTGTCTTAGGTCCTCATTTGAGTTTACATCCTTAATCGGACGAAATCTTTACACTACCGTGTAAGTACATTAAGAGGTATATTATAGGTACCTATGTTCTTCTTTTCCTGCTCAACTCATAGAAAAGTGCAGTTGACCGGACGTAAATAAATCGTAAGGGAAGAAAAAAAACTTTAATAAAATGAAGTTTAGGTAAATAAATTAAAGGTAAATGCAATACATAAATCAATATCCAAGTCTAAGCCAAAATGTGTCCGAATTAGCTAAATTACAGTGGCAGGCTGAGTACATACGCTATGGAAAGAGGTAGATTGTACGTGAATCTTGCAGCTAATGATGACGCCAGAAAGAAACCACCTATGCTTTTAGGGATAAATTAGGTATAGGTACTTATTTTTCTATCTACGGGCATGTAGCCGTTGCAGTCCGTTGCAGCCCGTTGGCTAGGCTAACTCGATTACATACTGTGCTTTGCTAATAAACAAGTACTAATCTAACGGTAGAGCGTGCCGTAGCTTTGTGGTACCTAAGTAACGACCTAAAACTGTGCCAAACGGCGCATCAGTGGTCCGGCAACCCCCCCACTATCACCCACTATCAACTGGAATGAATTTGGACCGTTCACCAACCGCGCTAAGCCCACACAATTACAGGGCATTCGGCCAAGCTAATTGCGGTACGTACCACACCTTTCAGGGCTCCCCAGGGCTTTTCTCACCTAGTTTCCCTGGAATCGGCGCACCTGATTGGCTAGCCACCAGCTGCTGACTGCAGCTTCGATACTTTGATACACCCGATACTTCGGGCTTTTGGCTCGTTCCATCGATTCTTCCAGTCCACCACATCTCATGTCCCAAAATCCATCCGTCCATCCATTCCATCCATTCCACTTTCTCCTCACTTATTCATTCTCTCAACCTCCCCGCCAGCCAGTTGTAGAGGTTGCCCATCTTTAAAAAAGAAAAAGAAGAAGAGAAAGGTTTAGAGAAGGAGCCCGTCTACGACAACTTCCGGTTTCTTCCTCTGTTCCTTACTCATTTTCCTTTTTTTTTTCTCTTTTTTTTTCTAATTCCTTTCTCATTCTTCCTTCTTTGAACTTGCCGCACGAGATACCCCATTTTCCAACTCCCTCCTACCTATACTTGCCTATCAACAATCCCACCCAAAAAGGCCCTCTCCTTCCCCCGGTTTCACGATGCAAAAGCTCGCTAATATGCGTCACTGGCCCGAGAGGATGAGCCCAAATTTCGGCGCGTCATCAAGACCGAACATGAATATGACCGCCATAAATCCTCACCAGAAGGCTGGAGCGCCGGGAGCTTCGTTAAGTCCCTCGCCTGCCGCCGACAGTACGATTCACTTCGCCTTCAACGTTCCCTTCGCGTCCGATCTTGCCGGTCCCAACACGGAGGAAATCCTGCATGCGACTGGAGAGGCGGTCTTTAGGTGGACGCACCCAGGAGATGCACCCGACGATATCCCCGTTTACGAATTACCAGTTCACGCTCAGAACCTGTCCAATCTGCAAAACCTGTGTAGAGAACTTACGAAAGGACCCTTACCGATCGAAGCTCACGTCATTTCGAGCGTACCGAAAGGTTTCAAGTCGCAAGTTACCACAGTGTGCCTTTCCGGTTCTCCGGAACTCGTCCACAAGAGCCGTGAGACCATCCTAAGCGATACCCCTTTAGCATTGGTATGCAAAATCTTGGCTCTTCTTGCAACGTGATAAATGACATGTCCCGCTAAACTAAGAGTTGTAGAGATGTACTACTGTTGACGTAGATTATGGATTGATCGTCGACGCTCAAGCTGGCGCACTGCAGAAGAACGTCACAGATGCTCTAGATACTTTCGCCGTGTTCTGTGGAGTTGATATTTTCATCCTCGGCCCAAAACTCACTCCCACCGTCGACGGCCTAAATGGCGACGTCGAAGTTATCCGAGATCAAAGGTGGAGAGTCGCTATCTACGGAGATATCGAGTCTACGGAACATGCAAAGACCCAAGTCCTCATCTTTATTGATAAATTGGTATATTCCGAGCCTCGAATTCGTAACGAATATTTAAAAGGAAAACTGGCGCTAATGTGGAATACAGCTTGGACGTCAGTTGGATATCATGCGTTTTGAGAGCACATTACATCCGATCGTGTGCGGGCGTTCTCGGAAGAACATCAAACTAATTGAGTCTGTCACTAATACGGCCATCTACTTCCCTCCGTTCGCCCAATTGCACCGATACTGCCCGCCGAACGCAAGCCGCCGTAATCCGGAAGAGATATTCATTACCGGCGAGAACCCTCAAGGTATAGAATTAGCCAAGCGCAAGATCCATGAGCTGGTGAACCGGACAAAGCTCTTTATCAAAGACGCCGTAGTTTCACCTCCCAAGATTGATAGCATCTTACTTGGACGAATGGACAAGGTTCGAAAGATCATGGAGACCAACGGCACATATATCATGTTCCCTCCGCTTGCCTCACAACGTAATATGATTCGCGTTCAAGGTGTCGAAGGGCTCCATATTGAACGCACCATGAAAGAAATCATGTCCCTCGTACGTCTCAACATGGAGCAATAGCCAAATGATATACTAATACATAGTGCAGGCTGGCCAGTTTTATTTTGCGTCGTGGTGGATCCAGCAAGCTGGTATCTCTCAGGTCCCGGGTCCTCACGAAATCCGCGCAATGCTTGGCGATATCTCGGCCAGTTCCGATGCGGACATCTCGTTCGATAAGATGACGTTCACGATCAACGGCTCCGACGATGCGGTTAAGCAAGCTCTTGGTGTACTTTCTCAGATCAAGTTCGTCAACCAAACTCAGCACCAGATTCGGGTTAAGATTGAGCTCGCCAATGAGCATAAGGAATTCGTGTCCGGCAAGAAGAACGGCAAAATCAACAAGATTATGACACAAAGTAGGTCGTATGAGAGTAACCTGCGGATCTAGCTAACCCACTTTATAGGTAATGTTCAAATCATCTTCGATAGTTTTAGAGAGTACAATTTTGATATTGATGTAATCGCTCCATCGTACGATTCCATGAAGCAGGGAATGACGTTGGTAGAGCAGGAAATGCCTGCTTCTATCTCATTCCACGTCCCTGACCAATACCACAAGCGAATCATTGGCATCGGCGGTCAACACATCCAGCGGATCATGAAAAAACACTCTGTTTTTGTCAAATTCTCGAACGCTATGGATCGTGGTATGAACCTCCCCCGCCAGCGCGGCCAAGGCTCGAGCTTATTAACAGGCGTACTAGGAGGCATGGGTCGTGAAGATGATGATGTCAAAGTTGACAACGTCATCTGTCGTACTCCCGCTCGAAACGCTCAGAATCTTGAATTGGTCAAGACTGAGATTCTAGACATGGTGGATCGAGCAGTAAGTCACAGATTCCTGAGTTCATACAATTTATCAAAGCCGCTAATGTTTCTTTGCGTAGCACTCCGAGTTTACCTCTCAGATTGTACACGTCGACCGTCTCTACCATCGACAGCTTATTGCTCGTCTGCAGGAGATTGAAGAGCTTGAGAAAAAGTGGAACTGCAAGATCGTCTTCCCCAGCACTGAGCAAGCTAGCGATGAGGTGACTGTCACCGGTCCAGAATGGCAGGTGCCCCTCTGCGCCGACGAGTTTTTGGTAAGTTTAGCAAAGCCCTAGACCCTAGATTCGGAATAGAGAGCTGACATCTACTCAAAAAAGGGCATGGTCCCTGAAACTCACGAACTGGTCTTGACTCGGACTCCAGCCCTTGTCAAATTCCTTGAGTCTCCCGAATTTGTTAACGAGCTCATTTCGAAGCTCAAGACTCAACATGAAGTGTCCCTTGAAGTGCACGACAACCCCGAAGAGAAGACTGATAATGGGGAACGTACCGTGACTTTACTATGGAAGCTCACTCGTAACAACACTGGCGGCCTCCGCGACGCCATTGACTTCCTCATGCAGCAGTTCGCGGCTGCTAGTGTTGATGCTACTATTGTCAAGGGTGCAATCCCACGTCCGAAGTCGGACTCATTCGAGGACTCACTCCAGTACTTCGATTCCAAATTGCTCCAGCACGCCCCCACTCCTATCGGGACAGACTCGCCCACCAAGCCAGCGTTTGGCGAGGACATCACCCAGCAGCGAACCTCAACCATCTTTGACAAGCTCCGGAAGCCGTCCCAGCTCCTGTCTTCTCTCGACCGCAGAAAGAACAGCTCCCATTCGATGAACACATTTTTCAAGGGATCAAACAATGTGTCCAAGTCATCTCTTATCTCGATAGAATCAACCCGCAGCTTCAATGCTGACCGAAACCCCTGGAACGATAGCGGCGTCAATCTTCCAGACGACGACAGTAACCCCTGGTCGAGCCGTCACTTCAGCAACGGCTACGATAGCAAACTTACACCTAACAGCATTCCCCACGGCGGTGACATGACACCACGCCATGGCACACGTGCGTCTGGCGACAGTGGTCGACCGTCGACTTCTCATTCCACAAATTCAGGATACCCCGGTCCAATTGGACCATACCGTTAGATTCCGTCTTTTAGATGCTCTACGTGCAATACCCCCCGGCTGGATATACCCTGGCGTACAAATACCCGATCCTATGATCATGCATCGGTCGGCTCTGCGTTTTTTTTTTTCGGTCGATTGTCTCAACTCTCTGCTTTATAGTTTTTGCTTCGTCTTTATTTCTATTTACTTCAGCGGTTTGAGGTTTACTTCTTTTTTTTTTCGTTCCGTTTCTTTTTTTTCTTTTCTTTTCTTTTCTTTTCCCTCGGCGGTAGTCAGGCGAAGGGCTGCGAACGATTTTACTTGACGCTTATATCCACGAGTACATCTGGACATGATACCACGAGCTGCGCGAGGCGGAATACGGCGTTGCAGATTGGAGCGGGAGGACGCCGTCGGATGATACCACAGAAAAGCACAGAAAATTTGATACAGCTTGGGCAGAAATACCATAAGTTGTTGCGTTTGACTTGATCAGGTGGCGTTGGTTCTCTTTTTTTTTATAGGGGTTCAGCCTGCTTTAGGTGCGCCCTTCGGACATCCCACATATCCTTACCATCCAAGTTCGAGACGAGGGGACATGGAAAGACAAATTGCTATCATGATAACCGCAGCTATGTTGTACGGACTGTGAGGACTGGGAGGGGGATTCAAAGAGGCTGGGAGGTAGACTGCAACACGGGCTTGGAGAATGGACAGGCGGATACCACAGGACGATTTGATGGCGTGGCTGACAGGCTACGGCTGTACGATACCACAGAGATGATAGGCAATGATACCCTCTGATTCTGAACAGCTTTGAGATTTGCTGTCATTCGTCGTCTTACCCCTTTTCTCTAATAAGGGGGGCTATTTGATAACTGTCTTTATAAATGTGATAGTAAGATGATAGGTGACTTTTTTTGGTAAAAGTAAAAAAGGTAGACAGACGAATGGTAGGTTGAATAAGATGTTGAGTAAGAAGTCAGAGTAAAAAATGACGGGAGAGACAACCAAGTTTTCTCGAAAGGTCTGTCGAGGTGAGATAAAACATAATATAAAATATGATTGGATATATGCAAATCTCCGCCTTGCTTGTTTATGTGGATGGAAGTCACGCGGACAGGGAAAACAAATAGAAAGAGGAAGTGAGTTGTGGTTGCCTACTTCGACATACATTATACAGGTATTGGAAGTAACGTTAAAGCCAGGTTGTACGTACATATGGTACCAAAGGTAAAAAAAAGGTATACCTAGCTCCTACCTTAATGAATAACCAGTCGGTTGAAGATGATGGCAATTGCTCTTTCCCGATTTATGTATTTGTATTTGTATTTCAGGTGTTTATGTAGTATTTTTATTCCCTCACCTTCCTCTTTCCTTCTTCTCCCTTGTGTTCTAATAGTACCTAAAGTACCTAAGTTGCTTATTCTAGATTTGATAAATTCGATTGGTTCTTCTACTTTGCCCTCATCTTCCTCCTTCTTTTTTTTTAAAAAAAAAAAGAAAGAAAAGAATAATAAAAATCAAGTACATACCTAACCTATCCAAGTACCTGCCTAAGGTAAGTACCTAAAACTTGACTTACCATCATCGTCGTCGTCTAATGTCACACAAACGCTAACACGCACAGCTGCAACGGCATCCCGTCACTTGTAATATTTCAAAAATTGACGCCACAGTAGCATTTTCATTTTCCAATCGCAACACAGTCACTCAATTTTCAACAAAAGTTTTCAGTTTGTGTTGTGTTGTGTTATGCTGTGCCATCCATCATCTGCACCCCATCTCGCACAACAACACCCCCAATACTACCTAATCCTCTTCCTTGCAGACCCCTCACAGACATCCATCCTGCCATCTCAAACAATTTCCACCAATCAAAGGACACGCGAGGGTTCGACAAAACGAAAACGAAGCATGTCGGAAACTCCCACCAGACCCGGAGAGAGCAGCGACAGCCCCACAGTCGCCGATGCCGTGGCTGGTACCGATACGAGCACAAGCGTAAGCACCAAGGTTCGACAGGACCCTCTTCTCCACGAGGATGTTACCGAGAACGCCGTCGACGACTCCGAGGACCTTCCGGATGACGATTGCATACAGGCTACCCAGACCAAAAACTACACCCAGCGACACCACAACAACAGACCGCCGGGAAGACTCGGCCGAGCCCAGGAGCTCGTGCCTTTCCCGTTCCTACCGAATGTTCGCCCGCTAACCATTTCGGACCTGGAGAGCTGTGTCGCGCTGGAAAATGCGGCCTTTGCGGACCCGGCGCATCGATGTACGAGGGAAAAGGTACGTCTTCTTTTTTTTTCCGCCTTTAAGTTTTAAGTTTTAAGTTTATACTTGATTTCAAAATATAAGGTATAAGTCAAGTCCTCGTTTGATATCCTATATTCTCCATTCGACACGTGACTATTACTGTATTTATTGATACATGATATATATGATATATATCAATCCATATTGAATTTGAATTTCCATTAGACATTCTCATACTCTTTTTCAAAAACAAGTAGTTAATTGCTAACTCATAAAATAGTTCGAATACCGTCTCTCGGCGTGTCCAGAGCTATGCCTCGGTCTCTTCTGCACCATCCCCCCTAATAAACTTGGCAATTTCGACATCGACACATTCCCCTCGGCTCACCCTGTCGAGACGGGTCGCGAAGATGGAGCGAAGAGCGTCCTGATGGCGCATATCGTGTCAACGCGATCGCACAACGACGTTGTCACTGATAAGAACATGGATTATCCTCGTGACTTCCGCACTAATAAGCGCAATACCACCGACCTGGGCCACCAGGAGGGCGGTAGCACCGTTTGCATCCACTCATTCGCTGTCCATCCCAAGCTTCAAGGTTGCGGCCTCGGCAAGATCCTGATGAAGTCGTATCTTCAGCAGCTTAGAAATTCCGACTGCGCCGAGCGCTGCTCGCTGATTTGCCAGGACGTAAGTATTGTTCTTTTCGTTTTTATCTTTGCTTTTGCTCTGTGAGCGAGGCCATAACTCGTCGGGACTAACGCCTCTGGCTATATAGTACCTGATTACATTCTATGAGCGATTCGGCTTCTTGCACCAGGGGCCAAGTTCGTCGAGGTTCGCCGGTGGAGGTTGGCACGATATGTCGCTCAGCATCATTGGATTGCCATCTTATTCCGCGAAACCACCTTCGCGACGCTAAATTACATTTCGGGCTTTTTACTCAGTGATATTTATGTCGACCCAGGTGGTATATTGGAGTAAGCTGAGATTTGAGTTGAGCTCGCACAAGCAACAGTTTGCGAGTTCTGATACCCAATCACGGAAGAAGGTTGCCGGCAAAAGAGAAAAGGAGTAAAGGAAAAAAAATGTTTCGCCACTTACATATGCGAGCTCGGCGGACAGACAGGACATGCTGAGCCTTTTATCATCCAACTGCAGCGATTTTTATGCAGTTTACTCCTATGGTTTCATGTGGAACGAGGACTTTTTCGGCATTTGCATAGCATGAAATCATCATTTATGAAAGCTACCTCCTACCTAGGGCTAGGAAGTGAGCATATAGACAGAGAGGGGGGTTAGCTACCTAGTTACATGGACTTCTGGCTAGGTCCCTAGAGGGAGGTAGATAGATAGGTACTTTAGGTAAGTAGGTACCTAGTTAAGTAGGCGATACCTATCTATGCGACGTGCATTTTGCCGTTGATTGATTTATCAACTTTATTGAAACCAACTATAAATAACTCTCTTTCGTAGTCCTATCGATGCGCGATGCGTTGGGGTTTTGTGACGGGATCTCCTTTTTATACGGTTGGTTTACTACCTACCTAGGTTAAGTTAGGTAGATTATTATACCGTACCTAGGTGAGTACCTAATGTACGCACTTATAGCCCCTCGATGGGGAATAAGGATTGCCTGAGATGGTAATCCGTAAGAGAGTAATTGGCAGGGCATGTCGTACGGAAGTAGGTAGGCTACTTAAGTATAGGCTAAGTATTAGAAGCATAGGGGTGTATATATGTAACAGTACAATCAGTGAGTGTTCTTATCTCCTCTTGCATTTATAAGGTACATTTTATATAAAAATAATTAAAAAATGAAGAATTATTAAAGCTAAAAGCGTACTAGCATTAATAGGGTAACAAGGTAGGTAATAAAAGGTGTTCTTTTAGCCCTGCTCGCTTCCCGGTTCCATGGTGGTCTAGAATGTCTGTCTGTCTGTGGTGTAGTGTGGTGTGGTAAGCAGTCAGGGTAAGGTGAGGTTAAGTACCTGGTAGGTAAGATAGATACCTCTTAACGCAAGGGAGATCAGTGCTGCTAACGGTAGACGCGGGATACGGCGTGGGAGGTTTGGGGGTACAATATACAATACATGTCATTTTGTATGTTGTATGTTGGGGGGGCAGGGGTCCTTGTGGCTTGAGATAGAAGTATGAAGGATGATGTAGACATGTAGACTTGTAGATACTCTGTGTTTTATATTAAGTCTATGAGCGAGCTGAGTGTTGTACATAAAGAAGTATGTATAGGTACCTACATTTATTCATCTTGATTCGGGGACGAGAGTCTTTAAGACTTCTTAGTGGTGCAAGCAAGTAAGCAGCTGAGCATCAAGATAGGTACATAAGGTATTTGATCTCATAGATACAGGTACCTTATCATACATAATCTCATGGGAGATAATAACGGCCCGTATAAAGGTGTAGGGCACGAAATCCTGACATCCATTTGGTAGTTGAAAAGGTAATACTACGATATGTCACTCGAGCTACACAGAAACGGTACAATCTTAGGGGAAGCAGGATTCTAGCCTCTGAGTTATGTATAAAAAGCATAGAGTATATAAGGGATACTTTGGGGTATAGTGTATAAGTACCATACAGCCTCTTATTCACTTTAGCTTGGCTTAAGAACTAAGCATTATAACTGGCAATCTCAGGTGGAAGAGCATATTATAGTCTAGTTCAGAAAATCAAAACCATCAAGATAGCTAGAGGTTACTATAATAGACAGAGGACTGGTAAGTAATTGTATTCACACCTTGGTAGTGGTACTATACTGCATGGGCAGCATATGTCCTCACCTATTTAGGATGCTACAATCTATAAAGACAAGATACCTCTTAAAATAGGAGCCAGTGATTCTAAAAGTCATGTAGTGCCTGGCTAACTCGGACGCGATAACATGGCGGCCTAAGAGAAGCTCCATTACACGTTGTTCTGCAGTGTAGAACCATAGCATCCATCTAGTGCATCACGATAGGATACATGCCACACAGACGAAACACATCAAAGGCACCAAACAATGTAGACTTATTCTCGTTATCGATTGACTCGGCTAAACTAGTCGTAAACGCGATAGAGCATGTCTTTAGCAACTATCATATCCGTCCTAAACGCCTGAACAAAACAAACCTGATATACGATATACCATTGAAAAAGAACCAATTATGTACAGACCCGGGGTAGTTGAAAACCATTCCTTAACGATGCGACGCCTTGCCCATGGTTCGTTTGCCGGCGAACTTTTATCCTAGTTAGCACAAGATCGTATGATACATATATAAATAAAAAAGGAGAGAAAACTTACCAAGTGTTTAGGTAGCGAGGCGCCAATGTGCCTATCAGCCTCACCCTGTCTGGCCATGCGGTTCATCTTCCTCTGGCTTAGCTTAGCCTGCCTCTCCGCCTTTGTTCTCGTCTCCTCATCCTGAACACCATCCTCGCGTCTGTTTGTCGCCGGTTGGCTTCTCGCCCGGCTTGCTGCCCGGCTCTTGGAGCGTAGTCTTTCTCTAGGTGTCTCGTCGATATCCATAGCATTAGAATCTTCAGTGCCGAGGCGGCTCCTGGTAAGAGAACGTCCACGAGTCACTGTCTGCGACCTCGCCCTGAGTTGCAAGTCTTGAGTATCAACACCCATCTCGTCAAGAGTGTCCTCAAGCTGAGACAGGGGTTTCTTAATAGCGCTGCGGGGTAAGGCAGCACGATTCTTGACTCTGCGCATTCTCGCTTCGTTCCGAATCAGCGCCTGCTTCTCTCGGATAATCTCTGCCTTCACTCTGATATCCGCTTCCTCTGCATCATCAATCTCCTCGTCCGAGTCGTAATAGCCTTCAGCCTCCAGTTTCTCTTCCTCTTCCTCTAGCGCTTGTAACTTGGCGTCGATATCAGGGTCGATGTAGTCGTAGACGTTCTTGCCGTCGTAAATCTCGGGTATTCTGTCGTGTTTCCATTCAGGGTTCGCAAGAATGTAATCAGCCCTCAAATCCACGTTGAACACACCAGCGCCGCCATTCTCAGCTTCAATGTCACGGGCCAACTTGCGACGTTCAGGGTCCTCCTTATCGTATTTCTTGAGGTTCTTCACGGCCTCAGGAATGAAGGGCTCCGGTGTTACACCATTCATAGGCTGGGCCACGTGGATTCTGGCCATCACATCTGCCAGTCTGCTACCAATAGCACCGCTGTTTGATGTACCAGCCTTCAGCTTCTGAGCAACTCTGTCCGCGAGAAGTCGCTCGCAAGCGGCATTCTTGACTTCCTGCACGCCCTCCTGCGTGTTGCAGGAAAGCTGGAGCAGCTCTACCTCACCAGAGGACACCAATGCCTGGAGTTCGCCACTGGTCTTCTCGTCTAACTCTTCGGGTCTTAGGATGTCAATCTTGTTAATGACAATGAAGACTAGCTTGTTTGAGAATAAGGGCTTGATGCTCTTGAATAGTTGCATTTGCGCAGCAACAGAGTAGCCACATTGTTCCGAAAGATCCATAAAGTAGAGGATAGCGGATCTCAAATGAGCAATAGCAGTAATCGACTGCATCTCGATTGTGTTCATCTCTTCGAGAGGATGGTCGAGGATACCGGGGCTATTTTTCGTGTTAGCATCAGTCATTCTTCTTGGGCTATTTTCATATGATAATAAAAGAGTTGGCTGTATTATAGTAAAGGTCAAGACAACTCACGTATCGATAGCCTGGAAACGAAGGTACTTGTAGTCAAAATGACCGACAAACAAGCTCTTGGTGGTGAAAGCGTAGGGCTGAACATCTACATCGGCTCTGGTTATGCTGCGCAAGAAACTCGACTTGCCGACGTTGGGATATCCGCAGATCAGGAGGGTACGGGTTGTAGGATCAATGGAAGGAAGTCGGCCAAGATGCTGTCGGACCTGATCGAGATATAGTAGAGGGTCCTTTAATCGCTTGGTGATGGTGGCCATCCGACCAAGCGCGGCCCTCTTGAGCTGCTTACATTGGAACAAACTCTGGGCGTACTTGAGAAGTCGCACGTAATCTCTTGAGATTGTTTCGATAAGGTGCTTTGCGGTTGAGAGATGACCGAGCGCGATCTTGAAGTGGTCGGCATCGTAGAGAGTGTTTAGAAGATCCTTGTGGAATGGGTGGATGTCCTGGAGTCGGGGGAAGCTCTCGAGGATCTGAGCGAACTTTTCCGAGAAGGTTTCCTGGGTGAATTTGACCTTTCGAGTATAAAATCCTGCAAATAGTTAATTAGTACCGAGCGCAAAGATTGAGTAGGTATACAAACCTCTGATACGACTGATCTTGAATCCCGATCTAATCTGAGTAGGCAAACGTCGCTGAGTTCTCGATAGAACGATATCGAGAAACTCCTGCGACGTGGGAACCGGTGGGATGTCTTTCCAAGTAGTCTTCATATTGGGCGACAAAGAGATGTTGTTCCTCAGCTTGTCTACCTTTTTGGTTGTATTTTGAAAAAAAGGCGGAGTTGGAGGGACGGTGGGAGTTGCACTTTTGCGAAATCTTGGCGCAGAAAAATTCCTTATCGATTGTTTTTATCTTATCAGTGATAGCTTTATCTTAGCATTTAGTAAAAAAAAGTGGGTAGTCTGGTGGTATAACTGGTATCATTGCTCTAGAACGCGACGACGCATGTGAAAATTGCATCAATTGAGTCAGAAACAATAAAAGAGAGCTACAGATTTCAGTAACTCCCAAGAATATCTATAACTAAACTGCCAGTCTTAAAACTTGTAAGTTCAATTTAGTTACCTGTTAACTCCTCACGATTTTTTTCTTCTTTTTTCCTCAATTTCCTCAATTTCCACCTCTTTTACCCCGCCATGAGACACATATATCCCAATTTCAACATTTTCTTATATCCTCCTCCGTACCAAATATCGAGAGCCTGGTTTTTTGTATCAGCACTTAAGATAAAGCACCAAATTTTTAGATTTTGTCACTTAATTTTCATGACAGTTACGAAAATGAAAAACAAGTCGAATTGTTACTTTTCACTAAACCAAACATTTGGATCCACGAAGGGATGATATAACTAATTCCAACTTACAGGGGCATCCCATACAATGAGTCTCCCGCAGTACAAGAAAGACTTCCTACGGGCCGCTGTTGAGGGTGGCGCCCTTCGGTTCGGGTCTTTCGAGCTAAAATCGAAGCGCATATCTCCTTACTTCTTCAATGCCGGTGATTTCTATACTGGCGAGCTGCATGAGCCTATCATGGATGCATACGCCCAAACTATCGCCACAAGCGAGCTGGCTGACGGTTTTGACGTTATCTTCGGCCCGGCCTACAAGGGTATCCCGCTTGCCGCCACCGTCTTCTACGCCCTCATCAAATTAGACCGCGCCAAGTACCGCCATGCCGCCTATAGCTTCGATCGCAAGGAAGCCAAGGATCATGGAGAGGGAGGTAGCATTGTCGGATCGCCGCTCAAGGGCAAACGCGTCCTCATCATCGACGATGTTGTATCTGCCGGTACTGCTAAGCGGCAGGCCATCGACATGATTCGAGCTGCCGGTGGCACTGTTGTAGGTATCATCGTCGCCTTAGATCGTCAAGAGACCCTACCGGACGGCGACGGCAAGACAAGCGCCATCGGTCAGCTCAAGAAGGAATACCAAATCCCCATCATCCCCATCGTGAAGCTCGACGACATCATCGACGGCATGAAGGGAGTTATCTCGGAATCTGACATCAAGAAAATCGAGGAGTACCGTGCTCAGTACGGAGCCAGTGATTGATTGGTTAGCATCAAGAAGAGAGGCGCTGCTCGAGTTTGTTATGATTAAGATGGGACATTAGACGCGGGTAGGTTTCCCATGATCGATGCAAGATCGAGACGGGCCGTTCAAAAATTTGGTAGATTAAAATGATTCATCAGGTAAATGGTAAATGAAAAGAAGAAGAAAAGTAAAATATTTTATGCAGTAAGCTACCTGTCGTCGGAAGTCAACAGGCGCAGACGTAGATGCAGACGTAGATGCAAACGAAGCATTATCCAATAAGATTTTACATGAGTATACGATTAGGCACGATACCCCTTTTCTCCTTTTCGGCGGAGAATTTAAAAATATACTTATGTACCTGTTTAAGCTCAAGATTCTTATTTTAATTAGAATATGCATTTATACCGCATAATCTCAAATACGGTTTACTGGACAAAAGCGAGTGGCACCTCTTTTTGATCAACTTCAAATCCCGAATTTCTCGAGAGGAGAAAGAAAAGAAAAAATAATCATGTCGTATGACCGCAAATGACGGCACGACCAACAATCTGCATATAACTCTTACAGGCAGATGCGGAACTTGTAAGATCTAAGAACAAGAAGATCCTGTCATCCGAAGTCGTACTGTACGAGAAACCCGAGGTGAAGAGGCTGGTGAATATAAAAAAAAAAAAAAAAAAAAAAAAAAAAAAAAAAAAAAAAAAATTAAAAATAAAAATAAAAATAAAAAAAAAAAAAAAAAAAATAAAAAAAAAACGCTTTAAGCCCAACGGGTCACAAAAACATAAAATAAAAAACAACACAAAAAAAAAGCCACCTTACGTA